TGTGTGTGTGTGTGTGTGAGAGAGAGACTCATTTTTGAGATGGGGGGGGTGCTCTTTACCTCCATTGGTTACAGAGCATCCATCAAGTGCTCAATGAAGGCTCAACATAGAAGTCCCCTCTAACCTCGTCATCACCCCCGCAACCCCCACCCCACCCTTTTCCTCCTAATTCCTCCGCGTCTTCTTCTCGGACGATCCCGTTCGATTCTGAGGTTTACTCGGCGCGCAATCGGGTTGAGAACGTTGATCCCCGCTCTTCCCGCCATCCGTCGCCTTTGCAATTATTCTTCCCTCATCTCAGACGCTCCTCGCCGTATCAGAAAGTCGATCCGAGTGCCCCGTCGTCCATCATGTAACTTAAACTGGAGGTGACTCTGCCGCGATATGACGCCTGACAGCAAATCATCCCGCGGGGGAGACGGCTGTGGAAATTCCACTCTGTTGGGGGGAAAAAAAAGGACTCCGAAGGCAAAATACTGCAGCATGCCAAAACGGGTTTGCCAGGACTTGATTCAAATAAGTCATCATCTTAGTAATTCCTACCAGACCCATTTAGGCATGCAAGATGGCTGAAAGTATCACCGCAACTTCACCAAAATGGGAAGTGGAAAGCGACATGTCTAAACAGGTCTGGTTGGAATCCACATATTCAGTCCCACCGGGCCCATGGAGGTATTTCACTTCCAGTAACTGTTCGAAGGAGCATTCTTAACTTTCCCAACGTGTGAACAATGTATGTTCAAGTACAGCAGCATACCAAAAAGGTCTGCTTGGGCTAGTTGAAGCAGCTCATCGCGCAATTTTTCCACACATTCAGTGCTGCCAAACCCGTGTCGTCATGCTGCATTGCTCAAATCATCACAATAGCAACCCCAAATTTACAAAAATGTGCTATGACCCCCATTCACACAACTCATCGCACAGTTTTTACACGCATTAAATCCACCACCAGACCTGTCATGTCTTACACGACCACAATAGCATCCCTAAAACTAAGGCACAGCAGCACAAGTGGGGTGTTGGGAATGTGATACCGGGGGAGGAGCGGGGAGGGAGACATGAAATTGCCGTTGTTAGTGGAGCCAAATCTGTGGCGGCGGCGCAAGGGCTCCCTGGGCCGGCTGACTGCTTTGGCCGCTCCATTAAAGTGAAATATCAGATGGAGGGCTAACGCCGCTCCCATGACATCATCCGTGTTTTGGCCAAAAAATAAAACACAATCCCTGGCGCTAAAAGCATCCGCTCGCCATGTGCGGGATTAACGGGAAAATTGTCCATCATTTTTCTCACGTTCCGGATGATGCGGCTGTAACCTTTTGTGGAGCTCCTCACAGTTTCGAGTCATTTTGAGGAGGACGTTCAGGTGCCGTACGCAAGTAGATGTGCCCCCCTTCCCTCCGACTCACACATCCATTCAGATGTGCATCCAGGGCGCCCCCTCCCAAAATCCTTCCACACCTTGTTGGCAGGACCGGAACCTTCCCGTGTCCCTTCAGGGGTGGGCTCCGTTTGACTCATGAGAGGGGTCAAGACCCGCGCCCCAAAGCACTTCCCGTTTCCGCTGAGGTGTTTTTTCCGAGGACCGCCGCCATAGCTTTGAAAGGACACTGCAAGGTGTTGGACAGGAATCTAAACTGGCAGGATTGAGTTGGAATTTTTTTTTGCCATCTAATTGTTCCAGCTCAAACAACATTGATTATCATTACAATAAGAACAAAATAGACAAACTTTGACAAAACAAGCAATACTATTCACAGATCTGTGCAAATATTTGTAAATGGCATAACAATGTTCCAAAAATATCCAAACAGGGAAATGCATAGATGGAGCCGAATCGAATGAGCGACATCAGAGTCAAACGGCTTGGAGGATGTGCGAGTTGTCACATGCACGCCAGGTAAAAGGGGGACAAACAGTGTAGGACAAGATAATCATTGCATTGCGTGGGCAGCGGGACTTGTCCAACACAGCCGGCTTCCCATGCGGGCCAAAAAGGAGCAGGCTACAGGCGACTTGGCATCGCTGCTCAGTCAGCGCGTGGACTTGTTTACAGCTGTTGTACCAAGGTAGCAATAGTTTCATCAAAAGCCCCGCGCCGGCCACCTGGCGTCGAGCCTTTTAGGATGATCTTAAAATCAGGAGCTGTCCACTTTTGACGGAATGACGACTGCGTATCCGTGTCTTGCCCCCACCCCGGCTCCCCAGAGGGCCTGTAAATCTGGACACTTTACTGCGGAGAGGGCAGGAGAGATCTGCACCCCCCTCGCCCGCGCTTGTCCCACTCTGGCCCACCATAATCCCACCACTTCCTCTGGTCCGGCTCACGCCACTAATGCATTTTCTGTAACTAACAGCCGTTGTTTCCCGATTGTCACGCTTCCATCTCACGGGGAGATGTCGGATAAGGTGTTGGGAGATACACATTTTATATAGATATGTAGTTTTTTCACATTCAGTCCGACCAGACCCATTTTGGAATGGTCAATCACAGCAGCATCCCCAACCTGACTGACACGTTCAACATTTGTCTTGAAAACTGCAACGTGACTAAATGGGCCTGGAAGGACTGGATTCAAACAAGTCTTCCAACTCATTGGGTGATGTCGGATGAAGGCTTGGCTGATGAGCGTTTATTAAAAAAAGAAACAGAGGCTGGCAGGAGAAGGTCTGGAATTGCAGTTAAGACTAACATGACCACCGTCGGGTGATCCGACGGCTCAGTCGGCCAGGTGGGACGCCTCAACCTGGGGCCCCTTGCTTCCGTCACGCTGGCCCAGAAATAAGAACACATGGGTGTCGAGTGAGAGCTGTGGCGTTTTTTGGGTTTTTTTTAATCGCTGTGACGGGGGGGTAGGAGGAGCGGTGGAGGCGGATGGCACGGCGAGGGCGTTTGGCAACAGTCGCGGGGGCAATCGATTCGCAGCCCTTGTAACATTGTGAGCCACAACGCTGCTTAGCGGCGCGGGGCGGTGCGGCGCGGGGGGTCCCGCAACAGGTTGTCGGGAGGCTTGCCAAGAAAGATTTGCCTGAGTCCCGTCGCTCGCCTTTTACCCGACCGACGTTTGATGGCTCGTTAAGTGCGCCCCGCCGCTTTGTGCCAGCGGTTGAAAAAGTATGCGTGAATGAGGAGAAATGTTGTGAGTGGGAAGAGTAGCAGCAGCATGCATTTTGTTTTTGGTTACCGACATGAAGGAAAAAAATGGGTGGGAGAGTGGGGCTATTTAAAATGCAAAAAGCAATCACACAGATTTCCATGTATTCAGTCCTACCAGACCATTTTTTTTGCTTGCCGCTTCAAAATAGCTTCCTTCACATTACGTTAATTGAAGGCCATGTCGCTCAGTCCTGCAACCAATCCATAAATCGGAATGGCCAAATTTGTCAAAGTGCAGCGTTCCAATTAGAAGCTCATAAAGAGCGTGCCCCTTCAACGGCAACAACAACAACACGCAGTGAAAGATAACCTGCAGACTTCAAAGCTTGTCTGGCGTGCCGCCTCGAATCCTGACCGGGAACCCTGACCTTCCAGGGTGAAGGTCGGAGGTTGGAGTGGCACGGCCTTGAGCTGGGGTTAAAGTTGGCGGGGTGTGTGACCTTAGCGATTGCGTCGGGGCGTCACAGTCAAGCTCTCGCTTACCCTCGAATGACCCGACTCACCCAGAACACGGCCCACGCGCTGTAATAGATACGCGGCAGTATCGGGGGAAGCGGCAGAGCACGTGCACCCAATGACTACAAGCATACGATTTTTAATTCTTGGATCTTGAACCACATGCTGCTTCACCAAATCTAAAAGGATGTCTTTTAAAAAAACTATTTGTTCAAATTGAGTTTGAGTCCAGACTAAGCAGGGCTGAGGGGTGCGGACCGCACTTCAGACCTGATAACAGGCGAACTGAATCAGTCATCACTCGATTACTTGCGATAACCGAAGCAAAACTGACCAGAGAATTGTGGGGTAGACATCAGTAACCGCCGGACATTTTGGATCTGCCAATGAATTGAAGCTGGCAACACAATTGGTCAATCGAGGCTCGCACTCTTCACTCTTAAAAACGCTTGTCATCATCCACCATCTTGTGAAACATTTTCATATGCCTTGATGTGTTGATTGCACTCTGTGTGTGCGCGCGTGCACAGCGCACGTGATGACAAAATGCATCCTGGCTCGCCACCTCCGTGTTTGCCAGTGGAGGTGTTAACAGAGGAAAGGCAGGCGTCAAGTGTGTGCGTGTGGCACTAAAAGCAGTTAAAATGAGCTCGATTGGCAGGATTTTGTTTTGGTTGCGTGTTGCACTTAAAGACGATTGCGAGAGTTGCTGACGGCGGCGCTCAGCTTCATAAACGAGCCGTGACGTGGGCAGCTGCAATGTTAAATGGTGATCATTTGCCAATAACGCCTCATTTAATGCCTGTGGGACTGCGGACGTTTGCGGGGATATGCCGCATCGGCCGGTAAAAAGTCTCACATCAATTGTTACACTGACAAATCCCAACCACATTGACTTAATTTGTTGCTTCCAGTTTCTGTTAATTTTGCAGGAGTTGGCCTTGCTTACCTACTTATTTAGGCTTTGAAAATCCTTCAGGCGACAAGGACCCCTGAATGCGGCCCCTAAAAATGCTGTTTCAAAGCAACGTGGACGACTCCCGAAGCATGGCTTCTTGAAACGTCTTTGTCAGTCTCCCTAAAGTAGATGGGCCTCCCAATTGTTTGTGAAAGAAGCGGTCTTGGGGTGCTGAAATTTTCACAACAAATTATAAATGGTGTGGCTGAAGAGAAATGGATACTTGAAACCAAAATTGCCTTTTTCTTTTAATTTTATTTTACTTTATTTTTTTTTTTGAATACAGTGTGCAAATGAACTTCAAAGTAAAGTGACAGATTTCTTGTGTCTTTCCAGGCATGGGTTCTTGGGACGTTTTCTTCTCGCTGCAGCCTCCATGACGGCGTGCATGAGAGGAGGTAAGAGTAAACAGTAGTAAACAACAGTAAAAGCAGGGGAGGGGGCCTCCTGCTGGGTTGATTATTGGGAAGGCTGTAAACAGGACCTATTACCCCCCCCCCCCACC